ACTGAGTGAGACTACAACGAGTCTCATTACACTAACCCTTGACTGGGTAAGACAACAACGAGTCTCATTACACTAACCGTTGACTGATTGAGACTACAACGAGTCTCGTTACACTAACACTTGACTATGTGAGACTACAACGAGTCTCATTACACTAAACCTTGACTGAGTGAGACTACAACGAGTTTCGTTACACTAACCCTTGACTGAGTGAGACTACAACGAGTTTCGTTACACTAACACTTGACTGAGTGAGACTACAACGAGTCTCATTACACTAACCATTGACTGAGTAAGACTATAACGAGTCTCATTACACTAACCCTTGACTGAGTAAGACTACAACGTGTCTCATTACACTAACCATTGACTGAGTAAGACTACAACGAGTCTCATTACACTAACCCTTGACTGAGTGAGACTACAGCGAATCTCGTTACACTAACCCTTGACTGAGTGAGACTACAACGAATCTCGTTACGCACTACTGCACATCACTTCATGGAGAATCATCTCGGGCACAATCACAACTGCATGAATGTTAAGGTGTTTGATATGTACAATAGTGTGCATACTGTTTCTACTCGAATTATCGATGTCAGGACGTGACATCACTTGGATTTGACTTACATTACGTCAAAAGACGCTTACCCTTCCGAAACACAATGTCTTATTCTCCTTGTACTTTTCAATGCGTTCCAATGTAAATCGTTCCGTTGTTCATATTTTTCCCTAGTTGATATCGACTCTGAGTTCAAATCATGGTTTAGTTGACGCTTTGTTATTCTCTTGTTGTTTGTCGTTTGCTTGAGATTTGTAAAATCTTAAACTGGCATACATTTTATATTATGGAGTTTTGACAAGAAATGTATCACGTTCTATATCATGACTCTATGAAACACCAAATGCAATGTGCCCATTGTATTGTCTAGCTAACATAAGCCAATCTAAAGCGCTTCACAGTACATGTACATAGATATACAGTACAATAAGCATATACATTAATCAATTAAATATTTGAGGAATTCGCAGAAGCTCCCTTATCGGGCGCTTACTACTAGTCCCATGCCACCCGGCTAATATCTCTCTATGTGTGTATGCCTGCGTGTTCTTCAGGGCGGCCATCTGGATGGATCCTGTGTACGACCAATCTTCGAATGGCTGCGGCTATATGTGGAGTAACTGCACTGCCATTGGGTCAGTGTCATGGGCCCAAGAACAACCTTCTCAATGCACGGATAAAAAATGTACATCTATGGATCAGAACTTCCATTGGTCTTCAGAAATATGCAACGGATACGGAACAGCCATCTGTGAACTAACAGAAGGTAAGTTTAAAAAAAGCAATATCGCTACATTATTATTATTACATAACTTTGAACTATGTTAAGGTTAATGAACTGCCATTTTTTTCAAAATCCAACTTTATATTGATAATAGCCTGCAAGCAAAGCGGTAAAATCCCTACTAGATTTTCTAACTTTATGTTTATCTGAAAGAACTTATCTGAAAACAAATATTTTCAAAGCACCATCATTCCTAGATCGTATCATAGGTTTATTGTCACTCCTAGTGTTATACGAACAACGCCAGACCTTATGTTATATAGTGGTATAAACAACAGGTTATAAAGTGGTGACAGAGTTGTACCCCGTCCGACCTTAGGTTATATAGTGATGACAGAGTTGTACCTTGTCAGACCTTAGGTTATATAGTGGTTACAGAGTGGTACCTGGTCAAACCTTGGGTTATGTAATGGTATATAAACATATGGTTACACAGTGGTGACAGAGTTGTACCTCGTCAGACCTTAGGTTATATAGTGGTATACACAACAGGTTACACAGTGGTGACACAGTTGTACCTAGTCAGACCTTAGGTTATATAATGGTATATAAACATCAAGTTAAAAAGGGGTGAGAAAGTGGTTCCTCGTCAGACCAAAGGTAAATAATATAGTGGTGACAGAGTGGTACCTGGTCAGACCTTAGGTTATAAACTGGTATACACAACAGGTTACACAGTGGTGACAGAGTGGTACCTGGTCAGACCTTAGGTTATATAGTGGTGACAGAGTGGTACCTCATCAGGCCTAAGGAAAATAGTGGTGATAGAGTTGTACTTCATCAGACCTAAGGAAAATAGTGGTGACAGAGTGGTACCTCGTCAGACCTTAGGTTATATAATGGTATATAAACATCAAGTTAAAAAGGGGTGAGAAAGTGGTTCCTCGTCAGACCTTCGGTTATATAGTGGTGACAGAGTGGTTCCTCGTGAGACCTTAAGTTATATAGTGGTATAAACAACAGGTTACACAGCGGTGACAGAGTTGTACCCAGTCCGACCTTAGGTTATATAGTGGTGACAGAGTGGTTCCTCGTCAGACCTAAGGTTATAATATAATGGTATATAATCATCACGTTACAAAATGGTAATAAAGTTGTACCTCGTTAGACCTTAGGTTATATAGTGGTATATAAATATCAGGTTACACAGTGGTGACAGAGCTGTACCTCGTCAGACCTTAGGTTATATAATGGTATATAAACATCAGGTTACACACTGTTGACAGAGTGGTACCTCGTCAGACCAAGGGTAAATAGTGTTGACAGAGTGGTACCTGGTCAGACCTTAGGTTATATAATGGTATATAAACATCAGGTTACACACTGTTGACAGAGTGGTACCTCGACAGACCAAAGGTAAATAGTGTTGACAGAGTGGTACCTGGTCAGACCTTAGGTGATATAGTGGTATACACAACAGGTTACAAATTGGTGACAGAGTGGTTCCTCGTCAGACCTTAGGTTATATAATGGTATATAAACATCAGGTTACACAGTGTTGACAGAGTGGTTCCTGGTCAGACCTTAGGTTTAATAGTGGTATATAAAAATCAGGTTATAAAGTTGTGACAGAGTTGTACCTCGTCAGACCAAAGGTAAATAGTGTTGACAGAGTGGTACCTGGTCAGACCTTAGGTTATATAATGGTATACACAACAGGTTACACAGTGGTGACAAAGTGGTACTTCGTCAGACCTTAGGTTATATAGTGGTGACAGAGTTGTACCTCGTCAGACCTTAGGTTATATAGTGGTGACAGAGTGGTACTTGGTCAGACCTTAGGTTATATAATGGTATACACAACAGGTTAAACAGTGGTGACAGAGTGGTTCCTCGTCAGACCTTAGGTTATATAGTGGTATACACAACAGGTTACACAGTGGTGACAAAGTGGTACCTCGTCAGACCTTAGGTTATATAGTGGTGACAGAGTGGTACTTGGTAAGACCTTAGGTTATATAATGGTATATACACGGCAGGTTACACAGTGGTGACAGAGTGGTTCCTTATAATGGTATACACAACAGGTTACACAGTGGTGACAAAGTGGTACCTCGTCAGCCCTTAGGTTATATAGTGGTGACAGAGTGGTACTTGGTTAGACCTTAGGTTATATAATGGTATACACAACAGGTTACACAGTGGGGACAGAGTGGTTCCTCGTCAGACCAAAGGAAAATAGTGTTGACACAGTGGTACCTGGTCAGACCTTAGGTTATATAATGGTATATACACGTCAGGTTACACAGTGGTGACAGAGTGGTACCTGGTCAGACCTTATGTTATATAATGGTATATACACATCAGGTTACACAGTGGTGACATAGTGGTACCTGGTCAGACCTTAGGTTATATAATGGTATATACACATCAGGTTACACAGTGGTGACAGAGTGGTACCTCGTCAGACCTTAGGTTATATAATGGTATATACACATCAGGTTACACAGTGGTTACAAAGTGGTACCTCGTCAGACCTTAGGATTTATAATGGTATATACACATCAGGTGACACAGTGGTGACAGAGTGGTAGACCTTAGGTTATATAATGGTATACACAACAGGTTACCCTCGTCAAAACTTAGGTTATATAATGGTATACACACATCAGGTTACACAGTGGTGACAAAGTGGTACCTCGTCAGACCAAAGGTAAATAGTGTTGACAGAGTGGTACCTCGTCAGACCTTAGGTTTTATAATGGTATATACACATCAGGTTACACAGTGGTGACAAAGTGGTACAAATGAACCTCGTCAGACTTTAGGTTATATAATGGTATATAAACATCAGGTTACACAGTGGTGACAAAGTGGTACCTCGTAAGACCTTAGGTTATATAATGGTATATACACATCAGGTTACACAGTGGTGACACAGTGGTACCTGGTCAGACCTTAGGTTTTATAATGGTATATAAACATCAGGTTACAAAGTGGTGACAAAGTGGTACCTCGTAAGACCTTAGGTTATATAATGGTATATACACATCAGGTTACACAGTGTTGACAAAGTGGTTCCTCGTCAGACCTTAGGTTATATAGTGGTATATAAACATCAGGTTACAAAGTGGTGACAGAGTGTACCTCGTCAGACCTTAGGTTATATAGTGGTGACAGAGTGGTTCCACGTCAGACCTTAGGTTTTATAATGGTATATAAACATAAGGTTACACAGTGGTGACAGAGTGGTACTTCGTCAAACCTTAGGTTATATAGTGGTGACAGAGTGGTACCTCGTCAGACCTTAGGTTATATAATGGTATATAAACATCAGGTTACAAAGTGGTAATAAAGTTGTACCTCGTCAGACCTTAGGTTATATAGCTGTGACAGAGTGGTACCTCGTCAGACCTTAGGTTATATAGTGGTGACAGAGTGGTACCTCGTCAGACCTTAGGTTATATAATGGTATATAAACATCAGGTTACAAAGTGGTAATAAAGTTGTACCTCGTCGGACCTTAGGTTATATAGTGGTGACAGAGTGGCACCTGGTCAGACCTTAGGTTATATAATGGTATAGAAACATCAGGTTACAAAGTGGTGACAAAGTGGTACCTCGTCAGACCTTAGGTTATAAAGTGGTGACAGAGTTGTACCTCGTCAGACCTTAGGTTATATAGTGGTGACAGAGTTGCACCTCGTCAGACCTTAAGTTATATAGTGGTGACAGAGTGGTATCTCGTCAGACCTTAGGTTATATAGTGGTATATAAACATCAGGTTATACAGTAGTGACAGAGTGGTACCTCGTCAGACCTTAGGTTATATAGTGGTGACAGAGTTGCACCTCGTCAGACCTTAAGTTATATAGTGGTGACAGAGTGCTATCTCGTCAGACCTTAGGTTATATAGTGGTATATAAACTTCAGGTTACACAGTGGTGATAGAGTGGTTCCTCGTCAGACCTTAGGTTATATAATAGTATATAAACATCAGGTTACAAAGTGGTGACAAAGTGGTTCCTCGTCAGACTTTAGGTTATATAGTGGTGACAGAGTGGTACCTGGTCAGACCTTAGGTTATATAGTGGTATACACATCAGGTTACACAGTGGTGACAGAGTGGTTCCTCGTCAGACCTTAGGTTATATAGTGGTGACAGAGCGGTACCTGGTCAGACCTTAGGTTATATAATCGTATACACAACAGGTTACACAGTGGTGACAGAGTGGTTCCTCGTCAGACCTTAGGTAGGTTATATAATGGCATATACACATCAGGTTACACAGTGGTGCCCTAGTGGTACCTGGTCAGACCTTAGGTTATATAATCGTATACACAACAGGTTACACAGTGGGGACAGAGGGGTACCTCGTCAGACGTTAGGTTATATAGTGGTGACAGAGCGGTACCTGGTCAGACCTTAGGTTATATAATGGTATACACAACAGGTTACACAGTGGTGACAGAGTGGTACCTCGTCAGACCTTAGGTTATATTGTGGTAAACAAACAACAAGCTACACATTGGTGACAGATTGGTACCTTGTACCTAGCATATTTCCCGTTAGACTATTGATGAAACGGTGCTCTCATTTCAAGGGTTGGTTACACTTTGGTGCCCTGACAGAATGTTTTACCACATTTGTAGCCTACCATATCGTTATTCATATGATAACATGAAATGGTACATTCTGTCGATGCCTTTTTGGACTCATCATATAGTGTACTGATTTTTGTCAAACCTATCCTGATGTGATGAATCGGCAAAAATAGTGAAATAATACAATGGTTGTAAAGATATATTTCATTCATAATGTCAAAATTGTCACACATATTAAATGTAATAGACCTCGGATTCATGACAACTAACACATTTCTATATAGTAAAGGGGCGTTAAGTATGTGGAGTTCTCTAATTCACAGGATCCTGCACATTTGAGTCTAAACCTGTTAATCTGAGGGAAACCAACTTCACGATGCTGAATGTTACCAACACGGAGGACTCTCAATGCAGTAAGCTGTGTCTCACCTCGGAGTTCAGTACCGGTGACGAGTGCTGGTTCTACAGGGTAACAGCAAAGACGTGTGTTCTGTACTTAGATGACCGTTACCCACTGTCAAGTATACATAGTTTCACCACCGCGGACAATTTGGTAGATGTGTATCTGAAGGTTTGTGCACGACTAGAAAAAGGTGAGAGTTTATTTACCGTCGGGAAGTGACGTGGTTCAATTTGTTTCGTTAATGAATGTAATATTAATATCGATTACTTATTTCAAAAGTTCGATCAGTTGATGTGTTATGTATTGACATAAATAAGTAAGACATTAAAATGTGTAATGAACGTGTAAAATAAATAATGACGATTCGATAAATAAAAGGAATTCACAATGTATGTGTCTTGTGTATGAGTAGGATCTGCAAACGATGTCATCAGATCAGTTGTTAACGAGAATGTTCCTAGTTGTGCGACGACACCTACAGCAGGTGAGGAAATTATTTAACGTAGATATATACGAACACTAATGATGTCAAATCCGCCAAAAATAGGATACATGTGTTCAATAGAAACCTTATTAGCTTGATCCTTGTGGACTTAAAGTGTTTTAATACTACTACGCACTTGGGCCGCGACAGTCACAGACCATACCCCTATCCCTGAGTAGGTTCTTTCCGCAAGATCTTTCTTAAAATTCTAGTGAATGTCCATTTTAACATAGTTCTGGAACACGACAGCAAATAATCTTGCATACAGATTATGAAGAGTTACAACACCAAACACATAGTTCTAAAGCACACCAAGTGCTCAATCGAACTATCCCTGGCCCCTCCGGCCGAGGCCTTCCCTGGCCTTCCCTCTCCAGAGGCTCACATGTTCGAACCACGAATCCCGTCTCTCCACTCTAGACTCTGAACTCCCAACTCCCTATAAAATTCTCCTCGAGTACTTTTAACAATCAATACAACTTTAACTATGTATGAGTTGATACCAGCTATTGTACATAAGTACTGTGGTTCGTGCAGCAATTTAATCAAGCTTCTAATCTAACTTCTTAGCTAACATATCTACAGGGGGTTTCCACATTAGCCCACTCCTACGATACATGCAGTGGGTAACAGCAGGTGTATTCTTTTGTTGATCCCCGACCTACAGGGATGACCCAAATAAGAATACGTGTAACTTAAAGATTTTCCTTTAAAGAACTGCGCGGCCTAAACTGTCGTCTGTAAACCAACAATGCCAATGTCTCGATATTGCTGTAGCAAGTTGTTCCTCAACTGATAGGCAACTAAGTTAATGTCTCAATCAATTAGTTTTCTTTGTTAACTTTGAAAATTGACTATTTTGATTTGAATAACATGATAAGCAACTTTCACTTGTTAAGCAGTCTCCATTTGCCCTTACGTTACTTTCATGTAATAATTACAATAAAAATCATGTTTAATAAAGGTAAAATGTTATGGTCATGCGATCAATTAATTTCGATGTTACTTAAAATGCAGTACAACGTACATTGTCATGCAAACATTACACTCTTGTTTATTTTTCCAGTCTTTTTTGTATCTTTTCAATATTTACGGAAACACTTCCTTGCAGAGGTAGACTGTGTGTTTTTGGTATCAACCCTTGCCGCTCTAGAGAGGGAGCTGAATACGACGATACTTTACAGTCTGGTGCTGACGGATATCAGCCTAGACCTATGTTTTACCCGCTGTCAGATGTCAAATATCGACGACCTGCATTGCCAGGCCGTTTTGCATTTCATGTCTGACACCGGCTGTACACTGTTCTACGGAATGACCAGATTACACCTACCAACGACTGTCGTGCTTTTCCACAGTATAAACGTGTACTTCAGATCATGTCGGAGTACGAATCTTCTCTACTTTTTTTCAAACTTGTTTTGATTAAGCAGGAATGGAATAAATGTGAAATGTGTTTTATATTTGATCACATGGTATAATAATCATAAATAATGCAATTCTTAAAATCAACTTTTGTTCTTGCTCACGTGCGATCATTTTCACTCGGCTAAAGTTTCATATCAATGATATCTTCATTTAACAATACATCAGTACAATTTTTATTAACACATAATAACGACAAAGCATCCATTGATTCCTAATTGATTTTCAGGTGATCCATCAACAATGACAACAACAACAACCACAACACCTAGACCCCGAACAACAACAACAACAACAACAACAACCAGACCCCGAACAACAACAATNATTTTTATTAACACATAATAACGACAAAGCATCCATTGATTCCTAATTGATTTTCAGGTGATCCATCAACAATGACAACAACAACAACCACAACACCTAGACCCCGAACAACAACAACAACAACAACAACAACCAGACCCCGAACAACAACAATAACCACAACACCTAGACCCCGAACAACAACAACAACAACAACAACACCCAGACCCCGAACAACAACAACAAACACAACACCTAGACCCCGAACAACAACAACAACAACACCCAGACCCCGAACAACAACAACAACAACAACAACCAGACCCCGAACAACAACAACGACGAAAACAACAACAAAACCGACAACGACACCTGAAACAACTGAAGCGATGACAGCAACTCCATTAAGGCCCAATGCTATTGAAACAAACACTCATGTTGCTACAACAAATAATGACGTCACAGACACCCCTAAAACAACAACACCGCGTCCGAAAGATGAGTTTGGTTTGACCGTCCCGAAAGAACAACTAAGCCGCTTCAAGAACAAGTACGTGAGCGCGTATGAAAGTCGACCGTCCGCTGTCAGTATAGGTGTGATGGGTGGAGCTCTCGTTGTTAGTCTCGTCGTGCTCATAGTTGCTAGCGATGCAAAAACCATCTGGACTCATATGACAACAATTGGACTGAGAAACATCAAAATGGGACTATCATCAACGGTGAGCAGTGAGGAACAACCGGAAGTAGACACTGCTGACAGTCAGCCTCATGTTGATCCTTCTGTGTGACTTGTTCTGACTAAGAAACCATTGAACCAGTAAATATATAACAACATGAGCTGAAATGTAGTAAAGCACACCTTACAATGTGCATAGCTCCAGGTCGTATCCTAGTTAGTGGTCATTACCGGAGTGAGACTTGAATGTTAGTAATCAGTCACTAACTGTTGATTTAAAGCAAAACTTTTCAGGGTCGAATCACACACGAAAAATAGTACAAATTGTAGGAATATCACTCATCAGTTTGACGGATGTGACGAAGTTGTGAAAAACTTCTATATGTTTGGGTTAATTTCGCGAATCTAACATTGAGGTGTGAAGAACTTCTCCATACCTGGGTTAACTCCGCGCGTCTTACACTGAGTTGTAAAGGACCTGACCACGTCCTAAATAATATCGCGCTTCTTACACTGAGTTATAAAGAAATCTTCGTATCTGGGTTAACTTCGCACATCTTACACTAAGTTGTAAAGAATTTCTCCATATCTGGGTTAACTTCGCGCATCTTACACTGAGTTGTAAAGGACCTGACCACGTCCTGAATAATATCGCGCTTCTTACACTGAGTTATAAAGAAATCTTCGTATCTGGGTTAACTTCGCACATCTTACACTGAGTGGTGAAGAACTGACTTTTCCCCAGACCTGACCATGACTGTTCTTAACCTTAAATTTCAATTCATGTTTTATGCTTTCAAGGTTTGTTAATATAGAGATTTGAGGGAGAGATATGGTGGTCATTGGCATTGTTAGCACGAATACAATGTTGCAATTTTAGTCAGACTTTATGAGGAGATAAAAGGAACACCAGCTGTAATAACGATAAACAGGTATAACACACATGTTAAAGAGTAGATTTGGTCTGTTTATACCAAGGATAGCTTTCATGTGATCTCACCTAATAGTGATCCTTAGTTTACCATGTATTAAACTTCAATGCCTAAATGTGCAAAGAAAATACATCAAACTGTCAATTTGATTTGCAAATATAATTTCCCTTTAGGTTAGTAAACTAAATTAATGTACGTTGGGGTCGTATATAGATAACATGTGTTACAATCTATACTAACCTCTCCTGAGTAAGTATTACCGGCCACGACTTGGGGAATCATGGCTTTAGTTATAAGAATATAACAACACATGTCATTCATATTTTCTAAATTAAGGGATTAAAGTTACGAACAGTTTAACAAATAGGTATGGAAAAATAAAGTGATGGTGTCTGAAATTAAAATCACATTTGTTTAAAAATACGTGGTGAGTTTTTAAATCCTGGGACTATATTGAGATTGTTTTAGAATTATTGTGTTCTCTGTATTTGGTAGACGCTGATTGATTTGATATTTTTATTTTATCTTAACAATATATACCTACATTTCTCAATCACGCTATGAAATATCTATCTTTTAAAATTAGGATCAAATGATGTAAATGTTGTTTTGAAAATAAAAAGTATTTAAATTTCTGAAGAATAGATCTACATGTACCTGGTCAACAGTATAGTGCATTCGCCATGTCGTATTACCGTTATATTTAACATCCCGTGGGTGGATGGGTGGGGCTGCGGGGTTACTGTGAGTAGGAACTCTCTAGTATTTTCCTATAGTGTACTGACTTTCTTTGTCTTGATTCTCGCTTTGACGACATTGCTTTACTTAGATTTTACCAAGACCTAGATGGCGGGTTGTCGTCAACAAAGAAAAGTACGCTAACCCTTCTGGAACACATGGTGCCGTATTCCTGAAACCGTTCTCATGCTCAAACATGGATTTTGTGCTGAAGCCAAATTGTTGTAAAGCGGCTGTGTTGGCACTTCGTTATCCTCCTAATTTCTATCAAATCGGCGTCTGAAAAAAATATTTATAAAATATTTATGCGTATGTGTGTTACTCGCCACATATAGTACGATCAGTCAATTATTCTGTTTCTTTTTTAAAAAGTATTGCTTTGTCAAACAAAGCTGGATATACATTATGTCGTCAGGGAAATGTGTCAATTACAACCAATTAAGTAGTCGGATGGTACATTCGGGACATTGCATTATTAATGGAATAGGTTTTGAAAATATCTGATAAAATTCATACCATCTACGTTGGTGTAGTTCTACAGATAGCGTATGACAACTGTACATGTTAACCTGATCAAGGACCAAAGCGATGGGCTGTTCATTTATACATTATGCAGAACGATCCAAGTAGTATATCTGCATGTAATCCTGGCAGTTTATATAATACACAACACAATACACCTCCAGCACATACGCAGGCATACTCACATAAGGAGATATTAGCCAGGTGGCATAGGACTAGTAGTTAGCGCCTGATAATGATGCTCCTGCGAATTCCTCACTATTGTAATGATTAATATATATGCTATTTATATTAATTGTATATCTATGTACTGTAAAGCGCGTTAGAGTGGCTTATGTTAGCTAGATAGGGCGCTATATCAAATGTTGTATTTTATGATATACTAATGAACCTTATTAGATGTGTTTATTTCTGATTAATAAAAATGTCGATCTGAACTAAACTGTCTTCTTCTATTTCTTTTCATTCTCCTTTTACGGTGTTCGGGTATTTCCTTCAAAAATATGTCGAGCAAGAAATGTTTTAATAAGGCATACGTTCACTCTTGCTCAAATAAACAATACTCCTTATTCCTATCCAAATGCAATACACTAGGTCGTATTTCAACACGTGATATGCGTGACACTGTCAGTGGTACACCATTCGGGTATCCTTTATTCAGTCAGTACGCTAGTCGTATTCCCAGAAGATAGTGACAATCACAAGGCAGATACTGTATAACGAGAAAATGTGTCCCATTCATTTTTTGCCATCACTTGTAAAATTCCTATTTGCTCTGTGTACATTTCAGTATGTCATATTGTACACCAATTCCGTCTTTGCGTATGAAAGAGTTATCTTCTCTTGTGAGCAGGTATTGATTGTCACGTCATTGATTTGTGTGAGAAAATTACGTCGTTTTCTCAAAAACTGATGACGTTACCCTCACAAAAAAATGACGTAACAATCAATATCTGCTGTCAAGAGCAGATAACTCTGCAATACGCAAAGACGGAATAGTTGCTGTAATGATAAATTCGCCCTCATTACGGAGGGCAAAAATGGCGAAAGTTAAACTGCGGCGAATATTACCCGGTAACAGTTTAATGATTCTGAGTTTCATACCGCAATATGAGTAAATGTTTAAAGGCCTTAATACATTTAAGCCTTGTGACCTTGAATGTGGGTCAATATCGTGTATTTGAATATAACATTACTTTGTCCCTTCATTTTTTTAAAGAATGTTGTTTTAAGATTTTAATACAATTTATCACTGTTATTGTAGACTACATTGGTCATTTTTTAATAAATGTTTTTGTATAGTACCTATATCTAGGTTAAAGTACAATCTTTGGAAGGTGTTCGGAGATTTGAATACTGGTATAGATAACATAAACATGGTGTTAGTCCTCTATCTCAGCGATCAACAGCAAAAAGACCTTTACAAAATCGTTCGGACATTTTCCTTTTTTTACTCTATTGGTTTTGTGACTGAAAATGTGGGCCAAATTCATTTATTCATAGATTCTGGGCCATATTAAAAACAAATCAAAGAACATTGAAACCTGACGGACGGGTGACGGACACCACGCCATTGCCTTAGCTTTTAGCTGGAACTTTGGTATTGGAATGATATAACCAATGTAGCACTGGGTTGACATTAAACGCACTTTACTTGAATAGAACACATTAGCCAAGGAGACAAAGAATTATGGAGAAAAATTGGAACTAGAGATAGGGCAGAAAGTAAGGTTCTTATAGCCAAAAAATGTTGAGGTTTATCTGGAAAAAGTGTTTCTAATTTTCATTAAAACGATCGGCTGGTAAATTCAAATTATTTGTTGTTGAATATTTTTGGTAAATATACACAATAAGTTAAACATCAGTTTAACATAAGTTTTGAAAAAAGAATTGGAAATTCAATAACATATCATGTTAAAAGGGTTCAGTAGAAATAAGATGGAGTGTATTGTCAGATAATCCGGTAAACCCATTGGACACTACTTTACGTTAGTCCTTCTCCAAAGTTAGTGATCATAAAAGTCCCCAAGTGAAACCCTGGCTTTAATGAGTAACTTAAAAGTACATGAATATCGTTGTTTGGATTCCTCAATTCGATGTCTTGTTTTGGAGTTATAGGGAAAAATAACAAATTTTCAGCAATTACTTGAAATATATTATTTTTGGTAACCTATTACAATTGCATTACAATACAGTTTCCATCACGTGAAATCAACGACGACCAATCGCCATTGAACCGGAATTGTTGACGCTGTAAAATAAAAATAAATAGATTATACTGATGAACAGAGTGAGCAGTTTAAATCGTGTCGTACTTATTGTAAATAAAACACCTGTATGATAAATGCTAAGTTTGTTTAGAACACTGACAATAACTGAAAACTTATTTTGCGAGCTTTCGTAAACACTTGACAAAAGAAACAAATGTTTTCCAAATTTCCGACTACAACTAACCAACTTGTAATTTTTCCCATCTACGACTCGACTTTGGAACCAACTAGATCTTGACATTAGCAAAAAGTGTTTCGTACCCATTCTTTAAAAATTCTCTTCGAACCATGACAAAATTTCCAAATTATTACTTGATCGAAAATCGGAAATCCAATACATTGCAAGCCAGACTGAGAAATAGATCTAGTACTTTAAATGATGATCTACTCCAATCTTATTTAATTGTCTACCGTCACTGTCAGTGTGGTCATCCCATTGAAGATTCATACCACTTCTCTGTTGGTAATAATTATGCGGACCAAAGAGTAAAATTGTACCGTGAACTGAATGAATTCATCCCGCTAGACCTGCGGTTACTATTACATTGTAGTAATAATTTATCTTTAGAAGAAAACTTTAAAATCTCTCTCTCTCTCTCTCTCTCTCTCTCTCTCTCTCTCTCTCTGATTTTATCCACGCTACTTACATATTTGTTTAAAAAAATCACCATGTCCCTAAATGTCCACAGTTGTTGATGGGTTGTTAAACACAAACAAAACAAAATGACAGAGCAAACAAGACCAAGAGATGTTTACCATAACAAACTATAGAAAATGAACACTAATGTACCCTACCCTGGTCTCGCTACGTTATTAGAGGAAATGTAAGGGGAGGTTACTGTCGCACTAACAAACTGAGTTACCTGGTAAACGGTACACACTGATGTACCCTACCTTAGTCTCACTGCGTTATAACAGGAAATGTAAGGGAGGTTACTGTCGCACTAACAAACTGAGTAACCTGGTAAACAGTACTCACTGTATTACCCGCGCTAGTCTCACTGCGTTATAACAGGAAATGTAAGGGAGGTTACTGTCGCACTAACAAACTGAGTAACCTGGTTAACAGTACTCACTGTATTACCCGAGCAAGTCTCACTGTGTTATAACAGGAAATGTAAGGGAGGTTACTGTCGCACTAACAAACTGAGTAACCTGGTAAACAGTACTCACTGTATTACCCGCGCTAGTCTCACTGCGTTATAACAGGAAATGTAAGGGAGGTTACTGTCGCACTAACAAACTGAGTAACCTGGTAAACAGTACTCACTGTATTACCCGCGCTAGTCTCACTGCGTTATAACAGGAAATGTAAGGGAGGTTACTGTCGCACTAACAAACTGAGTAACCTGGTAAACAGTACTCACTGTATTACCCGCGCTAGTCTCACTGCGTTATAACAGGAAATGTAAGGGAGGTTACTGTCGCACTAACAAACTGAGTAACCTGGTAAACAGTACTCACTGTATTACCCGCGCTAGTCTCACTGCGTTATAACAGGAAATGTAAGGGAGGTTACTGTCGCACTAACAAACTGAGTAACCTGGTAAACAGTACTCACTGTATTACCCGCGCTAGTCTCACTGCGTTATAACAGGAAATGTAAGGGAGGTTACTGTCGCACTAACAAACTGAGTAACCTGGTAAACAGTACTCACTGTATTACCCGCGCTAGTCTCACTGCGTTATAACAGGAAATGTAAGGGAGGTTACTGTCGCACTAACAAACTGAGTAACCTGGTAAACAGTACTCACTGTATTACCCGCGCTAGTCTCACTGCGTTATAACAGGAAATGTAAGGGAGGTTACTGTCGCACTAACAAACTGATTAACCTGGTAAACAGTACTCACTGTATTACCCGCGCTAGTCTCACTGCGTTATAACAGGAAATGTAAGGGAGGTTACTGTCGCACTAACAAACTGAGTAACCTGGTAAACAGTACTCACTGTATTACCCGCGCTAGTCTCACTGCGTTATAACAGGAAATGTAAGGGAGGTTACTGTCGCACTAACAAACTGAGTAACCTGGTAAACAGTACTCACTGTATTACCCGCGCTAGTCTCACTGCGTTATAACAGGAAATGTAAGGGAGGTTACTGTCGCACTAACAAACTGAGTAACCTGGTAAACAGTACTCACTGTATTACCCGCGCTAGTCTCACTGCGTTATAACAGGAAATGTAAGGGAGGTTACTGTCGCACTAACAAACTGAGTAACCTGGTAAACAGTACTCACTGTATTACCCGCGCTAGTCTCACTGCGTTATAACAGGAAATGTAAGGGAGGTTACTGTCGCACTAACAAACTGAGTAACCTGGTAAACAGTACTCACTGTATTACCCGCGCTAGTCTCACTGCGTTATAACAGGAAATGTAAGGGAGGTTACTGTCGCACTAACAAACTGAGTAACCTGGTAAACAGTACTCACTGTATTACCCGCGCTAGTCTCACTGCGTTATAACAGGAAATGTAAGGGAGGTTACTGTCGCACTAACAAACTGAGTAACCTGGTAAACAGTACTCACTGTATTACCCGCGCTAGTCTCACTGCGTTATAACAGGAAATGTAAGGGAGGTTACTGTCGCACTAACAAACTGAGTAACCTGGTAAACAGTACTCACTGTATTACCCGCGCTAGTCTCACTGCGTTATAACAGGAAATGTAAGGGAGGTTACTGTCGCACTAACAAACTGAGTAACCTGGTAAACAGTACTCACTGTATTACCCGCGCTAGTCTCACTGCGTTATAACAGGAAATGTAAGGGAGGTTACTGTCGCACTAACAAACTGAGTAACCTGGTAAACAGTACTCACTGTATTACCCGCGCTAGTCTCACTGCGTTATAACAGGAAATGTAAGGGAGGTTACTGTCGCACTAACAAACTGAGTAACCTGGTAAACAGTACTCACTGTATTACCCGCGCTAGTCTCACTGCGTTATAACAGGAAATGTAAGGGAGGTTACTGTCGCACTAACAAACTGAGTAACCTGGTAAACAGTACTCACTGTATTACCCGCGCTAGTCTCACTGCGTTATAACAGGAAATGTAAGGAAGTTTACTGTCGCACTAACAAACTGAGTAACCTGGTAAACAGTAATCACTGTATTACTCGCGCTAGTCTCACTGCGTTATAACAGGAAATGTAAGGGAGGTTACTGTCGCACTAACAAACTGAGTAACCTGGTAAACAGTAATCACTGTATTACTCGCGCCAGCCTCACTGCGTTATAACAGGAAATGTAAGGGAGGTTACTGTCGCACTAACAAACTGATCAACCTGGTTAACGGTACACACTGTAGTACCCAGTCCTAGTCTCACTACGTTATTACAGGAACATTTAAGGAAAGGTAGAATTCTTTAGTGTTTTGTCGGCAATGGAAATGGGGTCTTAAATAATTAAATCTGACATCGATACCTTAATATGAGACCTTCTTTGCTCTTGCATTAACTAGCAAATAAAAAATAAACACTCACGGTTTTTCACAGATGTAGTACATTTGACCATGAGCGTGGTGGTGATGAGACGCAGCATGTCCGCACGACTCGTCCGACCACACCAGGCTACGGTCGTCCTCCCATTTTAGACCCAAACAGTTTTTAGAGTTGTTTCCGTCCGGTTCCCCCGTACCCCATTTTGTGAATGGACCCGCATTAACTCCAGTTTCTAACCATCGCCATTGATTCTCAAAAGCTGTGTCGGAACCGCCGATGAAGTAATGGGTCATGTGGAAATCTATAAAATAATGTTTTTACTAAATATAGTAAAAGTGAAAGCTGTATTTTTTATTCTGATATTTGCTCATAGATAAGCAAGCGTGGTCGTGCAATTCACTCGATATTTCAAACCCTGTCACAAACATGAATCAATAACAGATCGATAAGTCCCGATGTTGTTTGGCTAATTTGAATAAAAGATGGAGATACTGGTTATATAGTATTGATATACTTTAGCTTCCTGTCCATTATCATCATTTTAAGGAGATTCGTTTATTTTTGTCAGTGTTGTCGAATCAAACTACAAGTTTTTACAGTAGGATAACATAGGTTCATTTGCGGTTCAGTTTGGATATTTTACGAGATACAAAAGTTAAATCTTAACAATCGAAAACTAAGAGTTCTATATTTAGAATAGTATTACCATTGCCATTTTTCTTATGTAAATAATCGTATAAACTTTATCGTATTGGTTCAAATCATTTATGAGATGACATGATGATTTAACAGGTAAACTCGATATAAGTGTTCAAGAGTATGACGAAAGAGTATTGCAGTACATCTTATAACTAATTCCAGAAGTTCTTACGACTGATAGGAGGAAAAAATAAAAGTTCGTTGGAAAAGAAATACATCCATATTGCATATCATTGAAATGATTTACAAATGTACCTACTTTTGAACGGGTAGAGTAGGGTTGCGAGGAAATCGTGCTTAGGCTCGTTGTCATCTGACATCAACCAGCCCCCGTGGTGACGGCAGTCAGACTATAGGTTTATAACGGTGAACAATTATTATCGAATAAACTATTTATGTTGTACCGATAACATTGCTTACAATATTGCAAGAGCAGAAAGAAATTAAAAGCAGTGATGATTGACCTAAGAGAGGTAACTCGAATGTGTATTAAGCATCGAGAGGAATGCAATGCAAACAATGGAGTCCACTTATCTTTATGAGATATATCGTACATAACATAACATAGATATATCGTACATAACATAACATAGATATATCGTGTATAACATAACATAGATATATCGTGTATAACATAACATAGATATATCGTACATAACATAACATATATATATATCGTGTATAACATAACATAGATATATCGTGTATAACATAACATAGATATATCGTACATAACATAACATATAGATATATCGTGTATAACATAACATAGATATATCGTACATAACATAACATAGATATATCGTGTATAACAAATGTGGCAGAGACGATATTTCTGATATCTGTATTTATAATATTACGGTATGTACATTTATTCTGATATAGTAATAGCGATCTTCATATCGTGGAATAGTTATTTCTTTATATTGGCCTCTTGGATTGGTTTGGTTATGTATATTTTAATCATTGGTCAGTTTTGTAAGTTACCCCGTTGTCACCTCTTTGGTTAGCCAATTCTCAAGGGTTTCTTTGTTTTCTTTGTGTGACGGCCGGTGGTTTTGGCGCAATATACATGACGTATAGACGAAGCAGACAAGACAGGACACTGGTAAGAAATTCACTAACTTGCACTTATTAATACATCTAATTATAAATCATCTGCTTCCATTTATGTTGTCAAATTGATAGATACGATCATACTAGTTAATTCTTGATTCGTGATTAGCTAATTCCGTACGACTTCAAATGGCCCTGTTCCACAAATAGGTACAGTTTTCTATTTTAAACTTGTAGTAATGTATTGATGAATGTATTTTATTGTACTCTTTGTCTATTTATTAAGTAACCTCCGTATCAATAAATACTGAGCTAAGATAAGATTTACATCATATGTTCAATATTACATGTGTATAAATATCAGTAAATATAATGTAAATCTAGATGTAAAATAACTTTTATAATTTATAGAACTATAATCTTATATGTAACACCTCAAGATAACTTCTTGTAAATTCACAGTGTGCTACATGTATATGTGCGTTATGAATGAGTTGTAGATCCCATACATATATCTGAAATGTAATTATTATATAATTGCAGGGTTTAATCATTTATGTCTAAAGAATGGGAACTACGCACAATAAATCGTGAAGAACTCTCACAGTGTTTGTTGATGTTTATATACAAAATCCACCACTGCTACAATAACATAGATATATTGTTATATGTAGTAAGCATAATCTTCTTCAATTCCATAACATGTTGCCAGTACATCTAGTCCTTACCTCAGCATCCAGCCATATTCGTTGATGGTTACTGATTAATAAACAGTCTTCCTTGAACTGAGTCCATCCTGGCTGACAGGCAGGCGACACCAGGCCCAATCCTAACAAATAGTGATAACGGTTAATCGTGTAATTAAAGTGCAACAAAACTAACCGATTGGATACACCAGGTCCCACCCTGAAACATAGTAACAATGGTAAGGGCAATATTGTAATTAAGTACACCACGGCTTACATACAGGAGACAATAGGCCCTACCCTGAAACTTAGTTACAATGGTTAGGGCAATATTGTAACTAAGTACACCAAGGCTCACAGATAGGGGACAATAGGCCCTACCCCGATATATAGTTATAATGGTAAGGGAAATATTGTAATTAAGTACACCACGGCTTACATACAGGAGGACATCAGGTCCAACCCTGACACATAGTTATAGTGGTAAGGGAAATATTGTAATTAAGTACACCACGGCTTACATACAGGAGACAATAGGCCCTACCCTGAAACTTAGTTACAATGGTTAGGGCAATATTGTAACTAAGTACACCAAGGCTCACAGATAGGGGACAATAGGCCCTACCCCGATATATAGTTATAATGGAAAGGGAAATATTGTAATTAAGTACACCACGGCTTACATACAGGAGACAATAGGCCCTACCCTGAAACTTAGTTACAATGGTTAGGGCAATATTGTAACTAAGTACACCAAGGCTCACAGACAGGGGACAATAGGCCCTACCCCGATATATAGTTATAATGGAAAGGGAAATATTGTAATTAAGTACACCACGGCTTACATACAGGAGACAATAGGCCCTACCCTGAAACTTAGTTACAATGGTTAGGGCAATATTGTAACTAAGTACACCAAGGCTCACAGATAGGGGACAACAGGCCCTACCCCGCTATATAGTTATAATGGTAAGGGAAATATTGTAATTAAGTACCCCACGGCTTACATACAGGAGGACATCAGGTCCAACCCTGACACCTAGTTATAGTGGTAAGGGAAATATTGTAATTAAGTACACCAAGGCTTGCATACAGGAGACATCAGGTCCAACCCTGACACATAGCTATAGTGGTAAGGGAAATATTGTAATTAAGTACCCCACGGCTTACATACAGGAGGACATCAGGTCCAACCCTGACAAATAGTTATAGTGGTAAGGGAAATATTGTAATGAAGTACACCAATGCTACATACAGGAGACATCAGGTCCAACCCTGACACATAGCTATAGTGGTAAGGGAAATATTGTAATTAAGTACCCCACGGCTTACATACAGGAGGACATCAGGTCCAACCCAGACACATAGTTATAGTGGTAAGGGAAATATTGTAATGAAGTACACCAATGCTACATACAGGAGACATCAGGTCCAACCCTGACACATAGTTATAGTGTTAAGGGAAATATTGTAATTAAGTACACCACGGCTGACATATAGGAGACAAAGGCCCAACCAAGGCTCACACATAGAGGATACCAGGCCCAACCCTAACATGATTAAAGAAATTGTCATAAAGAAAGTAAAATATAATGCACACAAACAACAAGTGAATACCGATGTGTCATCAAAACTATACTTGGAACTTAATATCAATAAACCTAGGGTAAATTATGAACAAAGGAAACATGGACATGGAGACCATATACAATATACAAGGAGAATAAGACCAGGAGTTCCGGAAACGTTATCGTTACTGCTTCATAGATGACACCCGCCATATGCATGTATCTAGAAGAAATCGAGAACTCGGGTTTTGACAACAAAACCACAAGGCACTCTTATGAGCACAATAACAAACATCGCTATCAAGAAAGGGAATGTTCACGAGAGGAAAGACGAAATCGTCCCGATTGTCGTACAGCTTAGTACTAAGTCAACCCTGTTGGTCATGCACACAAGCTGTAAGTAAGATAATCAATTCCGGTGATATTGTAAGGTCAATAATACTGTATCAGTCAAAATAGGTGCTTACCTCGTATGGCTAGATGTATCGATAACAGGTATACATGCATGTACTCTCTGTGGTTTGTGACTTACATGCGATATTGAATGAAACAAACTAATTGGATTCTTGTTCATGATTTGATTTCAAAAGTAGATTACTAAAACAGACAACACTTAAATTGTATAAAGTATGAAATACGTTTACAAATAAATGCATATCAACAAGAAAACATCAAAGTGTCAACGAACTGCAAACATAAGTAGTGAACTAGTATTTAACGCCGGCTCAATCCTTTCATAAACCGGCGATAAATACAAGTTCACTTGTTAATATGTTTTCAAACTTCTTATTGAACAATCAAATACACGAATATAATAGCATATTTAATATCAGCAAGGAGGAATCAAAGAGAAACACACAGAATGGAGTAAGTAAAAACTAGATCAAACATATGAAGTATCCGTCTCCAGGTAAGGGCAGAAAGTAAGGTAAATACTGTTTTAAGAATTCGAAACGTGTAAGCTTACTGGAATGTATCTATTGCATGTGGTTTTAATCAGCATCGTGTTATCTAGCATTGGGTTATAAATGTATCGTTGTATTTAAACCACAATAGTATCATGTGTATCGGCTTAATAGAAACGGCTGCTATAACTGGCTTTGTTTACTATTGGAGTATTTCCCTAATAAACAATTAGTTTATTTCAGAAAATCGATAAAAGTAGGAAAAAATATGATATGATTTTTGAATGGAACAAAACATTAGTGTAACAGGTGGGCACATGAACAGTAGTATAGATCCAGTATAACATAGATAAATTCAGAACCTAAATGTTTTAATCAATTATAGTTCTGTTTATGATTAATTATATAATACTTACCAAACAATACAAGGACAACGGTGGCTTTCATGATCCCTCCTGTGTCTGTCTGGTCCAGTAAAGACGTCCGACAACTGTTTTTGTTCCCATGGCGTCATCTTCTCGTGTGTCAACCATTCTGTCCAAATACAGGACCAGCCATTTAGGTCGTGTCTTATCTAACACCTATTCACGATTTCTGGTTGTGTAATTGTGTAGGTGGTACAAAGGGGGCAAACAAATGGTAGTTCTCATGCACAGTGTGCCCTAAATGTAATATTTAGTTCATCTTGGTTGCTAAAAATAGCACAAGCATCACATTTTGAAAGAATTACATTAAATGTCCTCATTTGATAATATTGATATTGATTTCGAACATGCGAACATTCGCTGTACTTGTCCCAGACCATTCATTGACATGACATATTCATGTAAAAATATGTATACAGTAAGGATCCTTAGATGTATGATTTAAATGGAAATGACTTCAGCAAATTTTATTTTAGCATCGGTCTTATTAAGTTTAAGAAGCCGGCTGTTTCCATGACTGTGGTTTGTGCAATTAATACATTTATCTAATTTGCCGAAACCACAGAAAATGACTCATTCCTTTGTCATACGTAGTACAGGCAATGCGTACCTTTCCTGACCACCTGGGTCCGCCAGGTAACCTTTGCGTTTATAAATGCATACACAAGTTTTATTTCGTCAATGATTTGAAAACCCCCATTAATACAGTAAAAAGCTATTTCAATGTTTACATTTGACTTATTGATAATTTTACATGAGTTTGGCAAGTAACAAGAAAGCTGGTTTGAGCACAGAATCCATACTTGAGCGTGGGATCGTTTTCATGAATACGGGAACCAACTTGCATGTTTCTCGTATGTGCAGTTTTAATCCACGATGAGGATGAACGCCGTTTGTTTTGTATTCATTACTAGTTCACATATATCAACAATTCAGATATTTGCATTAGTTATTCATTACTTTTTCACAGATATCAACAGTTAAGATGTTTGGAAAACTCTTTTATTACTATTTCACAGATATCACCAGTTCAGATGGTTGCATTAGTTATTCATTACTATTTCACAGATATTGAAAGTAAAAATGGTTAAAATAATAATTCATTACTATTTCACATATATCAACATTAACGATGGTTAACATATGTATTTATTACTATTTCACAGATATCAACAGTTGAGATGTTTGCAATATTTATTCATTACTATTTCACAGATATTAAAAGTAAAGATGGTTAAATTAATAATTTATTACTATTTCACAGATATCAAAAGTTAAGATGGTTAAATTAATGATTAATTACTATTTCACAGTTATCAACATTAATGATGGTTACAATATTTATTCCTATTTTTTTCCTAGATATCAACAGTTAAGATGGTTAAATTAATAATTTATTATTATTTCACAGATATCAACAGTTAAGATGATTACATTAGTTATGTATAACTATTAAGTATCTATTGATCCTTCATCTATATTTATTAAAACAAGCAATGACAACAATGAATACGAATGACATGTTAATTTATTAAAATGTTGTAACATTTTTCTCCGTTTCTGATTGCTGTAATGTTCCCCTTTATCCTATTACCGGCGACGATGTATTACTAGTGGCGCTGTAATTAGAAAAGGAAAAAATATACTAAAATTGGCAATTTAGCAAAAGGAACTATTTTAACACACAAACAAATACATTATTGCATTACTTATATCTAAGGTCTAAATGACATCATACAAGACACCTGTTTTACAGTGAACAACATCTTATGCATGTAGTTGCATGACAGTCTGTTTTAATATGAAGATGATGTCGAAGGTGATCTATTTATTTCAATACATGTAATCCGATATAGTGTTTTGTAACTGTTATAAAATAAATGTTTCTTCTTTGCACAAAAATCGAGTACTTGTAGTTTTTACTGGTATTGCTACGTGTAGTAACGACTATCCAATTCTGAACTGAAGGGTTTTGTATCGGAATAAAAGAAATTAAGATAATGTTACGTAACCGCTTTATATCATTTTTACTTTTTTCACTTAGGTTTATTTTCTTAGTGTAGGTCATTTTTCGAAATACCCGCAACAACATAGACCTATAGACACATTATATTTTACCTGAGTGCATAAACATATTACATCATATATGGATATGTATAACACATTATATTTAAGGTAGACGTATACACACATTTTTATGATAGATGAATACATGAACGTACACTGTATAACAGATTTTATATTGACCTATACACTTATAATATATAGACTAATAAACAGGTTTCAATATATAGACATAATTTCATAGACTTACAAACATTTTTTATTTTTTTTAAATTTCGAAAACTTTTTCATCTTTAAATGGTAATAAGATGCATATCATAATTAGTATAAGTTGTCGAATAGCTTCGAAGATTTACCAAGATAGGTTTTCCATAGTTATAATTTTACATAATCATAAGAGCGGAAATAGGTGAGATATATATATACGGGATCATAGGTCCGGAGTTATTGTGATAACACGTGTATATTTTACTGTTTTCATGTTCTGGTGTGATCGGCGATAATGTCATAAATGGTTTGTGATGTTTCGTCGTGTCGGGTACTCTCGGTTTACAGTGTTTTGAGCTGTTCGTGTTTTTGGATATATGCTGTTAAGAACTAGGTAAGTATTGTGTTTTGTTACACATTATCAGTTATGTGTTAATATAAAGGTGTTTTTGTGGTTGACTCTAAGTAGAAGAGTTAATACAGATAATACCTGGGACACATTGTCTACTTTAGGAAAAGTCAGTAAAAAGAAACCAAAATGTTCATGAAATATCGATTCAGGCTGGGCAAAACATTTTGTTTTGTATTATTAAATAATTGTTATTATTTTGATTTATAAATAAGCTTTGACAGCGCTAACATAATTTCACTCGGTATGTTATATTTTTGAGATATCCAGCAAAGAGACATAATGATGACCCTTAACCATTAAACCAAGTGTACTGACGGTTGCTCGCAGATGTAGTTGTAATGGCCCGAACATCGGTCGTCTCTCCATACAAGGTCGTTGTCAGCGTTCATGTAGAACGACATGCAGTTAGCGGAGGAATTGCCGTCCGGTTGACCTTGGTCCCAGTAGGTAGTGGACCCTATTGCTGTACCCGTCTCTAACCAGCGCCATTGATTTTCTATAACCTGGTCAGCCCCTCCTAGCCAGAAGTGGCCCAACCTCCATGCTGTTTCCAAAAACACGAATAGAGTTATTCTCGGAAAAAATATGTTCAATGGACGTTGTAAAAACTTCATAGCATAATTATGAGATTCCCGATTTTTTCTTGGTATGAATATTATATTTCTGAAGTTGAAAACAAGAACTGTCTGCTTATAAAATATTTTTTATATATTTTGGTTAATGATGCACGACCTACATGCAGTTAACACCCAGACTCGTTTTGATACAGGATCGCCTCCTTTATCAATAATAATTATGTTTATATTACATTTTTGTCAGAAAAATATAAAATTTTCAAACATTTGGATAATACTTATGTCTTTCAATATGTTACAGATATCAAAAGTGATAGTTGTAACAGTGTAAAAATATCAATTTTGGTATTGACCAATAATATCGACACTTTCTATTCACTTCATTTAAAGTCATCGATGCTACCAAATCGTATTCTTGATATATACAAATGTACATATATATTGTACTTCTTTATTCTTCAATAAATATTGTTTAAACTAATTGACCGATTTTCTGTTCAGATACAGATGAAGCATCGGTAAAATAGGTTATTGTTTTGGTATATCTAAGCAGCGTTTAGTAGGTAACGGAACACCATTACATGGCTTCTATATCGTAAGAAACGGGTTCTATGCTGTCATTTACATGTACATATAGAAACTATTAAATAGTTTATGCGAACATGATGAACTATATAATCAGGTGACACTCACAGTGGAAAATGTTGAGAAATTTATGAAAGAAGTCGTGTTTTTCTTGATTATCGTCTGTAGTCAGATAGCTGCTGTGTTTCCTACAATCTAACTGTAAAGATAAAACAAACATTAGTGTTTATAAGTATCGAGGTTCCGCCTGACATCAGACGGGAAACGATAGTCGAGGGAAGGAACGGAATGGTAGGCAGAATACGGACGTCAGGATGATCTGTTGAGTGTGACAGATACCTGTAGATTTGAGGCAGAAGAAGAGGGCATGGACAGTTATGGAAAGGAAAGGAAGTCACGAAGAAAAACTCTGACATACAGACACTGCTCTTACAGGTTAACAAACAAAATATGAAAAAAACATGAAAAGGCAAATCTCAGTACTTATCTTGAAATATTGACGTGATATATTGATTTGCTATTATAGCATAACATAAATATCAAAAACGATTTGACATAAAGAAACCATGACATCACAGAAAGTGTATCGGCCATTACATTACAAGTTAGCAGGTGGTAAGTCACGTGATACATAAAATAGCATACATAAACATACAAAGTTAATACTATGAGAACTATGTAATACAATATAAACATGTAATACAATTTAATATATATAATCATAATACATTATAATAGATTTCATACAATTAATAAATGTTATACAATATAAAATTGTAATACAATATATATGATAAATATATAATAATAATAATACAATATAATATGTATCACACTATATTATACATGTAATGAGATATCAAATTGTAATACAATATGATAAATACATAATTATACAATATAATAGATATCATATTATATTATACATGTAATGAGATATCAAATTGTAATACAATATGATAAATACATAATAATACAATATAATATGTATCATACATTATATTACATGTAATTTAATACAATAATGTTATACTGCGTGAGGTCCTACCTCTGCATCATTCCACGTTTTCTTGTGTGACCCGAACAAGAAACATTCCTGATCAAACTCTATCCATCCTACTGGGCAAGTGCTGAGAACAACAACGAAGCCTGAAAATACAGTTATTTCATCAATAGCCAATGTTATTGTAATCGAGAAAGTAGATTTTATGTTTATTTAGAAGTAAGAATTGCTTTCTAAAGCAACCAAAATGTAAAGTTTCCTTACCGATACACAATATGCGTTGTAAGGCGACGTGCTGCAGCACGGAGATTTCTCCGAACTCTATGCAATGGCGATTATCATATTTCAGTCAATGTTACATTTTTCAGACTTAAAAGTCACGATACCACGTATTCAACATCCACATCAACTCAAAAATAATATCCAGATCGACCTACAATGGCTAGGTATGAAAACAATTTCCTAATCAACCAGACAATTACACGGTAAGAAATCAGCATCCAGATCAACCTGAAATACATGCAGCACGGCACGAAATCAAAGTAGTGAACAGAAATACAAATCTGATTTGGCCGTGTGCAAAATACTTATCTGCTTCAGTTGGACACCTGTTTGAATATTTGATATATGCGTTGTTTATTAATTAAAAGTGTTACTCTATGAAAACAAGAAAAAAATGTTCTCATAGTAAACAATGAATATGATCTTTTCTAAGCCTGTTTGTAATGAATTATTTCTATGCCAAGTTAAATTTACCTGAAAAAGCTAGGTAGGTGTAGAGGAGCCACGAAGCAGCCATTTTGAGACAGACTGTGTGAGTAATCGGTACGCAGGTATATCGAGGTTATACCTATGTTTGCAAACGTGACGTATGCGTCAAATGTGAACCGCACATATGATACCTGGATATCTATAGCTTATTACTATCATCTACGAAATCCAACGCTCAGGAACATTACTGCTTGACTAAAACATCTAACACTCACACATCATAAACCAATCAAGAGTTATGATACGTTATCACAATGAAGAACAGATGACGGGGAAATACAAAGCCATTTACATGGTTGTATAGACATATAGACGTACTCTATACCTTGTAAACCATCACACAGTACTGATAGAGTTGTTCCTGCATAAACATCAGTATAAACTTAATACATTACAAATCTTAACAACAATCGGACGATGAAATCATTAAAAATCGATGTTAGGCGACACCTATTTAACAATTTAGGAAGTTAATACAGGAAGCCCCTTCAAACAGTTAACATTTTTACTACATCATGTGCCTATTTCATTCATTCAGGACCTTATTTGGCACTAAAGGCCATAAGGTTAAACATTGTTTCAAACATTGATTTTAATGTAAAAATAAGAGTAGAGGGCAAGAAAGGTTGCTTAAATTCATTGTTAAACGACTGTTTCGATGATATATAACAGTTGTCAAAATCAATGTAACTTCAATGATTTCGATTTTAGAAAAACACTTATGACGAAAAAAGGGAACCGGGTGTCTTTTTTTCCCCCTGTACCGTAACAGTGCATTTATCGAAATTAAACAGGTTTCACTATTTCCACGCTTGTGTATTTGGGAAATCATGGTTCAGGCACATGCGCATTGACACTGACATTACAGAGATATACGGTATGCCTTATATCACCCTAAGGGTTACATGTTCATGCTTTATAAAAACACTTTGGTATGTTCCATGCCAAACGATATACCTCATTGTGATTCCTAACACTACATTGTACTGACCTCTGTATGGTTCATACGAACGATAAAGTGTCATTAAATTCACTGGGAAGTTACATATGAAAAAGTTTAGCAATTTAGAAAAAGGACAAACTTTAGAATGCTGTGACCTTTGACCTCATGCCCTGTGCGTGACCTTTAGTATACGAACTTCACAGTGTTACGTGACACATGTTCTGGAAAAGATAAACATACATGTTAAGTTTCCTAATTGAAGGTGTAGCCATTGTGAACTTATGCTCGCGTCAAACGTTACAACGATTTTACCTTTAACCTTTGCTATAACCACCCTTACTGGATATAGTGGCTATACTAATGAATATTTATTTATTTATTGAAAATGTACTTCCGGTGGCCGGAGAGAATGGACGTGAAATGACCAGCTCCAAGTAACGTAATGTGATGTGATTGATATTGACTCGTCATGGTTTGCTTGACTCATTCTACACGATATTTTTAATCTTCGGATAATGCTGAACATCATTAAGCATATAAACTAGCTACTTATACGGGTAAGCTCCACATACCCGTATATATATATATGTACCCTATACACGACTAGTGGTCACTTTTTGAGCCGCCATGTTTCGCTAATACAAACTGTGTATATACGTGTCTTTCCACATTATTCTTCATATACTGTACTATATTCATCATGAATTCGGCTATTAAGAAGAGTATAAGCACTATTAACGCAATCACTGACCCTGATGTTATTGGTGAAGTTGTTTCTCAACTTTTGAGTAATGACCTTTTCAAGGACACATTGATTTCTAAACTTGGGATCCCTGACATACAGAAACAACTAGCTGATCTCCATAGGAGACAGGACGATCTAGAACAATATTCCCGGAGAAACTGTCTTAAGTTCCGAGGTATTCCTGAGGAAGAACACGAAAGCACTGATACTCTAATTATTGATGTATGTAACTCTTTTCTTGGTGTGATGGTAACGGAGAGCGATATAAGCCGATCCCACAGAGTGGGTCCCAAGTCTGGTAAATTCCCTCGTGACATCATTGTCCGATTTATCTCGTACCGTGTACGTGCTTCCGTGTACGCTGCCAGATTCTCACTTTTTGCCAAAGATTCTGACAAGAGTAATGGATCCTCCCCCTCCAATCAACGTGCATTCAAATTATTTGTCAACGAGGCCCTAACGAAGCAGAGAGCGATGGTATTTTCTAAAGCCCGTTATTTAAAATCAACAGGAGCCATATCTGGAACATGGACCAACGACGGGAGAATTGTAATCAGGCATAGTAGTGGAACCAAAGCCCAAGTCACCCACCTTAGCGAGTTAGATTCCTACCCCGACCCTCCTCAACAAGAACACCGACACGATCCCACAACCCGTATCAGAACTCTAGCCTCTCAACACGGTCAACGTACATCCAACAAACCCAAACCTAAGCCTGATACTACAGCCTCATTCACTTCAGGCAACCGATTTGACTCTCTTTCCCAAGTTAAATAATTATGTGACCTTATATTCAGTATTATGTTTGACTAAATATCAGTCTTTGTTTTATGAATTTGATGAATATTACTATTCTGAGTAGGCTACATGTATATGCTGATGACATGGAACTTGTATTTTGACAAATGAAGATACGCTATACAAAAAACACAAGTACATGTATATTTACTATATTTTGTGTATTAGTATTACTGTAATTTCAATGTGTGTGCTGAAGTATACAACACATACTTCAGCAATTATGCATTTATCTTTGTTTATAATGAAATCTATATATAAATATATAAAAAAGCACTCTGTAAGTGATATAATATGAATCTATTGATGCACGTGTGTGCATCTAATCAGTGACCAAAATATCTCTTTAATATCATGTTTTGCTCATGGTGTTACTGGTTATAAATGTTCTACATGCATTATATATATATATATTTAAAACATTATAACATTCATTATTTGGTATGAACATTCAGTATAAAATTATTCTATCATACATAATATTTTATATGAAATTATCATTATGACTTATCTGTAATATATGTTATTGTTGTATGACATGCCCTTTGTGTTTAAACATATTACTATATACACTGTATGTTATATATAACCCTTTATAATGTATGTCAATTTAATAAGAATGAAGATCACTATACACGTGTAGAGACCCAAGATAATATAGGATTTATATCCTATGGTATCATAGAAATTTAACAACCATTATGCTAATATTTTTAACGTCTAGCCTAAGATGTTCTATATCTTATCTTGCTTACTCTTCCTGAACTTCACTATGTATAGTTACATGTATGTGGTGTAATGTTGATAAAAGAAAAAAACTCATTCATCCAGTAACTTTTTTTTTTTTTCATTTTTAGTTTCTATAGGCGCATGCAATCTCAACTTTACTGCCACTGTAAGTTTACATGCATGAGCAACTATGTGCTCACCAATAATTCGCATGGCATTGAACTATAGTATTTCGTACGCGTACTTTTCATGTACACGTACGTATTTTATTGGAACTTACCGTTCAAGTGAATATTAAAATCCTATCACTTCAATAAATTATCCATAGCAACTACACATCCTCTTTCTCTTATACTCATTTTTTATTTAGCTACACGTATGAAATACACGTGAAATCAACACGATCGCTTTTCGCGTGCGCTTGTACAAACACCATGATATTGCTTACGTGTCTCTACCTATTGTTGATCGGCTGGATTTAATTTATAAAAACAGCCCGTTATCTCTATACACTCGCAATAGAAAGACGACTACGCGTTTGTGAATTGTTGCAAATGATAATCTAGTGGTGTTTTTCGTTAGTATAGTTATTGTGTTGATCACAGGGGCTTGTGGAGTTCAACATAGATATTTCACATACATGTTTTCTCTTATACTTCTACTACTGGAATGTCTATTTAATCGATCAAAATATTCTTATTTTTAATGTTTTACCTTTTCTGCATATGTATGCTCTATATTGATATTAATGACCATTGCAAGTGTATCATAAAATGATGGATGTATTATATATGTATTACTCGAAGACCTATGTTTTCAAACATCTCAAGCACATTGATGAGTCGTTTCCGCTTCCGTTTAATAACATGTGTTTGTGTGTTATTGTTGTGAGTGTGTGTATGGAAGTTGTATTGTCCTGTCTGTTTTATTGTTATCTCACATTCTTGCTCAACTACTGTTCATATGTCCCGCCTGAAGAAATTTTCAACAGCTGGATGATCGACCGAGCCCACTCTGCCCGCTTTTTCTACATTGACAATGGGTAATATATTAGATTTCCAGGTTTTCTGGACTATGGTAACGGTTGATCACTGGCAGTTTTCTAAGCGCATACATATTTGTATGGAGTTATGTCATGGCTTTCATTACTCTTATTTACACTTAATTGACATGTTTACCTATTTTATCAATATGTCTTACTTTCTTGTTTCGCATTTTATAGTGTTATCCTGTTGTTGTGACATCGAAAGTAATCCTGGACCTAAACATAATCTGAATCTGGTTCATCTCAATGTGCGATCTCTCAGAAATAAAACCCCACTTATTGAAGCCGAGTTTGAAAATAATGATATTTTATGTATAACTGAATCTCACCTAAATCCCCTGATATCTGATTTTGACATTCAAGTACAACCCTTTAATCCAATTCCTCATAGAAAAGATAGAACTACTGGTCCGGGGGGTGGGGTTATAGTGTATCATAAAAATACTGTTGTAACAAAAAGAAGGCTGGACTTGGAAAGGGATGATGTTGAATTACTCTGGTTAGAAGTTTTAATTAATACTCATAAATTTCTTCTCGGGTGTATATATAGACCAGATAGTAATATTGAATACTGGGATAAACTTGATGATACCTTAACAAGAGCTTCTGATACTTCATTGGATATTATACTTACAGGTGATATTAATATTAATATGCTTAATGTACCGCTTAATGATCATTTATCAAGACTCCTTATAAAGCACAACTTAACTAGTCTTATTAAGGAACCTACACGAATAACACCTGCTAGTGCCACTTCTATTGATGTCATCTTTACTAACAACCTAAACTTAATTAAAAATACTTATGTATCACCACCATTCTGTAGTGACCATTCATCAGTTCATGCCCAAATCTCTTTTACTGTATTTAAACAAGTGAATTATAAGAAAACTATCTTGAAATATGATGAAGCTGATTTTGAAAGTATGAATAATGCTCTTCTTAATATTGATTGGTTGAATTTGTCATTAAATCTGGACTCTGATGCATTTAACTCATTCATAATTAATTCAATCATAGAACAAGTCAATAGTTTCATCCCTACCAAAGTTATTACTGTACGCCCAAATGATAAGCCATGGATGAATAACATTATTAGGCTGAAAATGAGACAACGTAATAGAATTCATAGAAAGGCCAAAGTAACAAATAATCCGCACTACTGGGAAAGATTTCGTATACTCAGGAATGAAACTATTGACTTGATTCGTGAGGCAAAAGCAAATTATATCCAAAAACTTGAAAATTGTCTTAATGAAAACATGGTCTCCCCAGACAAATGGTGGAAAATTGCAAAATCTATTACTAATTTCTCCAATAAATCCTCTTCTATTCCTCCTCTTGAACATGATGACCAATTCATTCACCATCCTCTTGACAAAGCAGAAATCCTTAACAATCACTTTACTAATATCTCTTCGTCATCCCCTGACCTTGAATTACCTCAGACAGCACAGCCCTATACTCCATACTCACTAACTAACATTCATATCACTGAACAAGATGTATCTGACCAAATTAATATTCTTAATGTAAATAAACCCCCTGGCCCTGATGGTGTAATCCCTAAAGTTGTAAAAAAATTGAGTAACTCTCTTGCATTACCCCTCTGTCTTTTATTTAATAAAACACTTGAATCAGGAATATTACCAAATAGATGGAAACAAGCAAATATAAATGCTATATATAAAGGGAAGGGTTCATCAAATGATGTTTTAAATTATAGACCAATCTCAATAACCTCATGTTTCAGTAAAATAATGGAAAAAATTGTCTTCAAAAATCTTTACAACTATCTAATAGAAAATTCTATCTTAACTAAGCACCAGTCTGGCTTTATACCAGGTGATTCTACTGTTAATCAACTACTATTTATTTATAATGAAATTGTTAGCAATATGGACCAGGGGAAGGAGCTCAGATTTATTTTTTGTGATATTAGCAAAGCTTTTGATAGGGTGTGGCATAAAGGTCTCTTACATAAACTTAAAACGTATGGAATTGATGGAAATTTACTTTTATGGTTTGAAAATTATCTCTCTGATAGATTGCAAAGAGTCACCACTGAAGGTTATCACTCACAGTTTAAGGGTATAAATGCAGGGGTACCTCAGGGATCTGTTCTGGGACCTTTACTATTTCTCCTTTATATTAATGACATCACTGACAATGTTTCAACTAATATTAAGCTTTTTGCAGATGACACCTCCTTATATGTAATTATAGATGAAAACCCAGCACATGCAGCACAAGTTCTGACAAATGATCTCTCTAACATTGGTGAATGGGCAGGTATATGGGACATCAAGTTCAACCCTACCAAAACTAAATCTGTAATATTTTCTAGAAAACATAACAAACATCACCCTCCAATAACTTTCCAAAACAGCCAAATCACTGACTCAACAGCACATACACACTTAGGACTGACTTTAAAAGATGATGCATCTTGGAATCAACACATTCTGAATATATATGAAAAAGCTTATAGTAGATTAAATATTCTTCGTTACATTAAAACTAAAGTCAATCGTAAATCATTAATTAAAATTTATATAGCATTTATCAGGCCAATTTTGGAATATGCAGACATAGTATGGGATAATTGCACTCAACAATCTAAAGAACTTCTAGAATCTATTCAATTAGAAGCAGCCAGAATCATTACTGGACTTCGATCTGGAACATCTCATAATAAACTTTATAATGAACTTGGTTGGGAAACTCTGTCAACAAGAAGAAATAAACACAAACACATAATGATGTATAAAATAATGCATGGGCTGTCACCTCAATACTTACAAGATGTCTTAAATCCTTTCATTAACAATCAAAACAATAATCCCTATTTCCTCAGACAAACAAGACTGTTTAATCCACCAATATGCAGAACTAACAATTATTTTGACAGTTTCCTCCCTCTAATGTGCCGCACAACTAACACTACTGATAATGATCTCTTAAACTCCCCAACTCTTGCAACCTTTAAACACAAACTAAATAAAGATATTATTATCGATAATGAATCAACCTTAATTTTTAAAACTGAAGGTGATAGACGGGCCAACATTATTCTTTGTCAACTTAGAAACTTATGTAGCAATTTAAATTTTGATTTATTCAATGACCATTTAACTGACTGTCCCTCTTGTGCTTGCTCTTTTGAATATGAAACAGTTTTCCATTACTTTCTTGAATGTCCATTGTATAATGATCTCAGACTTACTTTATTTACTTCTGTTGATAATTATGGAAATCATAACCATATTGATACAAACATTTTTCTACAAGGCTGTCCTGATTGTGATGGACTAACAAACAGACAGTTACTTAATGATGTACAGTTATTTATTGGTAAATCTAGGCGTTTTAATCTCTATATGATCTAACCAGCCATGACCTTATACTTTATACTTTTATACTTTACTATTCCTATTCCAATTATACTCCACAAATAAGTAACTTTACCTACTTTTCTATAAATGTTATTCTTCTACGGACATAGGAGTTTTAAGTTGAGCATGTTTGTTTGTTGTTGTTTGTTGTAAGATTTGTTCAATCTGTCTTGTTTTACAGTTTCCATCTTATACATTGAATTACACATAGACTAGCTATCTATTTTCATATTAAACTACAATACCTTAACAGTTTTGGCGACTGTGACCTGTGCATATATTTGCACATGGACTTTTGGTCAATGTCTGCCAATATCTGTGTGATTTGATAGCTATATAGCTTATATACAATTGTAAAATGTTATAAAAATAAATAATACCTGTGGAAGTGTTTTGTGTGTGATGTGAGAAGTGTGAATGTATTTGTATTTCAGTTATGTTAATTAAGAAGGAGTTACATCCCTTTAATTTTTTTTTTTTATAATTTTCATTTCAAAATTGATGTATTAACTTAATCAAATAAAAATAATTGAATCCATTAATTTAGCCACCGCTGGAGAGAATTTATATAGGCTTTGCCTGTTATTCCATCCAATTGACTTGTATCATCTTTGTCAATAAAATTTGTTGAAATGAATATTTATATGTATTATAAAAAAAATAAGAAGGAAATACGTTGTTTTTATATTTCTAAACAAAACTCCTGACATAATATAGTTAGTTGTTTCCTGTCGTTTTCTAGGCGTTATCTGTCTTACTGGTAGTGAACCAGACACGTGTTCTGTTCAAGTCTAGCTGATAACATAGCCCGACCTCTCTAACGACAAACATGGCTTTTACTCTGCTTCCTCTCCTGCTGTGTTCAGGTAACTTTCATTTATATCGGCATTTCTTCATTTCATCTATACATTATGTTTACATTAATGTTATCTAATAAAAGACAACTAATACCCGGTAAGAATGTCGGCGAAATAAGTTAATTAAAAGCTCACCTATTTATATTTCTAAACATTTTCTTCGGGTTGGTAAGTATGGATTATGAACAGTTCTTTTTTACACAACCAATAAAAATAAATCTATGTGACGTTTCGATGACTAGTACGATATGTACACTGTTACCTTCATCAGAAAAATGACCAGTGAAGCGTACGAGTTGTCTACAAAATCGATGTCGATTCGGCTACGCTGTAAGCTTATGTACAATAGTTGTCATATATGTACCGAAATGACTCGATCCAGCTCCGCTTTGTTTAATACTTGGTCATAGATGTGCGAGAGCGTAGCCGAAATCGACATCGATTTTGTGGACAACGCGTACACATGTTACACCTTTGTGTGCATACGCTTCACTGGCCATTTGTCTGATGAAGGTGACAGTGTACATATCGTACTAGTCATCGAAACGTCACATAGATTTTTTTTTATTGGTTGTGTAAAAAAGAACTTTTCATAATAATCACCTATTTATGTTAGCAATTGGAAAGCCATTGTACCCTCACCCAATAATATATCAGCTGGAAAAAATACCACTGTACGCTCGCTCAGTTATATCTCCTGGTTAAGGATCCGCTCAAGTGGTTACAACATTCAATCTATAAGATGTCACATTTCGAAGATATTCATATTTATAAATTTAAACGGTAATATTGTCAGACCTAAAACGAGTTTATTTTAATAGTGCATACATTGACATTAAATACATGATAAAGGTGAATAACTTATCGACGGGTGTTATATATCGTCCTGGAAACGCTTTCTTTCATTCCCAAAATAGGAATGTAAGACATTTCCTTCTCCTATGCTCGCCCGTGTAGGACATGCATTCACCCGTGAGAAGAAAAACAAGTCTTTCCATCGGTAAAGCAATGACGTCATGACGCACTTCTGCATACTTGACCTCTGACCTTTTATCGATTATCGGCAAATCCGCCATACGACGTCGGCGTTGAAATAGTTCTGTTGTGTTGACGGTGTTAATTTTTTTTGGTAGTAGTTATAAGAGATATATAACAGTTTCCAGATAAATGAAAATTCAAATATTTGATTTAAAGGATTTTAAATCAGAATGACTTATGACCTGTGATCTATGACATGACATGTGATCAATGACTTATGACCTGTGATCTATGACCTATGACCTGTTTTATGTGTTACAGGTTTGGTGCTGGTGATGAGTACCTGCCCTTCTGAATGGGTTGAGTATGATGGTGAATGTCTTTATTTTTCGCCACATGCGATGGAATGGCATGCAGCTGAGGTATGATTGTCCTGTGGCTTTTGCCTCTGTAAAAAGCGGTTGACGGCTGAAGTTTTCCGGAGTTAGATATTATTTTTATGTATTTTGAAAACTTGGGAATAAGAAGTTGAGGTTTCTTTTTCTTTTGTAATCAATCACATGTACATGTTTATACGAAATTATAATCACATAATTTTTATCTTTTATGGAATAAAGATGGCGCCTTATATATATATTTATGTATATATATATCATCAGCGTTCCTTTGCCGCGATGCTCTCAGCGTAATTGCTGCTTTCGGCTGTCTTTAGCCGAGGGGACTATTGGTTTTATATAATAGCTATATTTTTAATTATAGTATATCGATTCTATCGTCTTGTAATATGATGTATATATACATGTAACTGTTCTGTTTCACTGTGTCTTGAAAAAGGAGCGGAACGCTCCGAAAATTTGACAACCTAAACTTGTCAACACTTGGAATTACTGCTTTGCCCCTTATATATATATATATATATATATACATGAATTAAACAAAATGATAAAGTAATAAGTAAGCAAACACAAATATTACAAATTAATGATGCAAGCAATGTTTGATTAATTTACCAATTATTTATGGTGGATACATATGTATCACATCCCGTTTATGACGTGATTAGCGCAGGGTTGCAGGTCATGTCATTTCTAAAGTAATCAGCAATATGACCTGGGGTGGGAGAGACACACATATACTGTACGTAGGTGCTGCCTAATCACTCGTGTGTGTCTCCCATCATAAAGCGCACCAGGAATTTCATAACAATTCGTCAAATAGTTTTATCATTGCAGTTAATAGACATTACAGACTTCAACTGATTTTAGTTATCTAAGCCATTCATAGCTCGGCACATTTTACATAATATTGTACCATTATTTGTAACGTTTTTTTATCATATAATGTACTGTTTTATCCAGTGAAAATTACCCATGTAATATGACCTATCAGCCCTGTGATTGCTTGTAAGTGTCAATTGTTACGTCATGCCTAGGACACGTACATGACAACAGACTTACGCACTGGAGTCAAAATAGCGGCTTTTTACATTTCAAGGTTGCATGGAAATTGTCGTTTTACACGAATGAATGCCACAACTCTTAATTATGTGATAAAAATGATCTAACACTCATTTTCATTTCATATGAAATTTATGAAACTCGTCAGGAATATTTTATTTTAGCTCGCCAGAGGCTCGCTAAATTGAAAAATTCTTAGACCCGTTTCATAAATCTCATATTAAATGGAAACTCATGTAAGATTACATATATATTGCATGTTATGTATTTGACAGTAAATGAAATAAATTAGATTCAGTTGACTTGATTGATATGTGTGTTATTATAAGACTGTATTATATATGAACAGAACGACTGCAGAAATCGTCCTACAGGTAGTTACCTAGTTACCGACGATAACCAAGAAAAACATGACTTCATCAAGATGTACATCAACATCTTTAACGGTAAGTAAAATGTTAACTAGCAATCAGTTTTTAATAAATCGTTCTTTAGTAGATCGACAATAACATAGTTTTTGTTATCTTATATCAAACACTATTATTCACAAGGTGTTAACATTCAAATTGTAAAGCTATTCATTAATATTTACATTTGTGTTGCAGTGCCTCTAGATAGTACCAACTTAAAATGTTTGCATGATATTAACAGTACTACATGTACCGTTACATGACCTCTGAACAAATATCTGACAGGGTATTTTTGCTTTAAATTAAGATCTACTGTCAATGTTTAGATTTTCAATGCTTGTTAAACATGCTGGTAAAATAAATTAAATCCTTAAAAAATATGCAAAGTGGAACTATTTGTTTATTGCTCAACTGTGTATTTCGTCACCGTTGACAACGCATCATCTTTCCCGCGATAAAGGCTGTACTGGTAATGTTGTTTCCATGACGGTGTTTTGCATTTTAACGTGAAAAAAGACATTTTTTTCTAAATTTCAAATAATAAAAGTGGATGTAATAGATCGTAAATGTAAGGTTTGAAATGCATCTTTTTAACATTTATGAGGGTATGCAACACAGTTCCGTTCAAACATATTCCATGATGCCCGTTAGCAAGTGTGATGCTACCCTCATACATGTTAAAAAGATGCATTTCAAACATTAAATAAACCAAATAATGATAAAAAATCTCTTGATTAATTATTACGAAGCGAAAAGATAAATAATGGACTGTTTATGAACAATACGTGATAATGGGATAGATAGAGCTGCCATATTGTAAACATCTGATACTATTTACCATCAATATAATTGTGATTCTTGAAAAGTAGCAATTACTCAGCTCAGCTTGCGTACACAGTTTATAAATGGGCTTACTTTCCATTAACAAGGTATCGAACAATATAAAAAGGCCGAGCAATTTGAATTCCTTTGAAATTTTGTTAAACTATTTTGAAAGGCGAAAATGTCAACTATGATTGCATGTTGAATATGCTATAACAGGTTTTTTATGGCAAGCCAACTTAACATTTATTCAAGGAGCAATGTCGATCCTGTATTTCAAAAAAAAAAAAAGATATCTTATATAGCATATGAGATATCTTATATACTATATAAGATATCTTATATCGCATATAAGATATCTCATATAGTATATGAGATATCTTATATAGTATATGAGATATCTTATATAATATATAAGATATCTTATATCCTATATGAGATATCTCATATAGAAATTAAATGAGATATCTTATATAAGTATATAAGATATCATATATACTATATAAGATATCTTATATCGCATATAAGATATCTCATTTAATTTTCTATACATAAGATATCTCATATACTATTTAGAGATTATCATATGACCATTTTGATAGCACACCCCATATCAGCCTGAGAGTCCTGATATCAGCCAGAGGGCCGAAGGCCAGAGGGCTGATATCAGGACTCGAGGGCTGATATGGGGTGTGCTATCAAAATGGTCATATCATAAACTTTTTATCATATGTTTTTTTCCTTTAAAATAAACAAAACATACACAAACAAATCATTTCTTTATTTTATTTACTGATATTTATAAAAATGATAACAAAAACAATGATGTATATAAACAAAACAGTAACAACTATCATAAAAAGTCAACATTTAGAAATTACTAAATTCCTACAAAATAACATGTTTATTAATAGTTTTAACAATATAACACAATGGATCTGGTTGGAATTCAATTTAATCACTGTCTGAATCAATCATCAACACAATACAATTTTCAATATCCATTGGGCATTCCTCACTTAATGATAACAGTAATACAGTTATTACTAACTAGAACCAACAGCTACCAAGCTTATAGAACTATTTACTATTCATTTGAATACTGCAGTACCTACCTAAACCAAGCGCCCCTTTTTCATACAGAATTGACACTTCTTCCTTATTTAGTGAATCAGCAGCATTTGGGCGGTTTCCTTTGCCTTGAGTCTTCAAATTCTTCATTTTGGCACTTAGCACATCACGAGAATGATTGAATTTAATATCGGTCAAAATATTGACGTCGTAGTGTTCTCCTGTAGGTAACGGTTAATGCTGGATTGTAAACACCTCAGACTTGATGGTTCGTACTCAGATTTATCGTTTTTTCTGACGTTCATGAAGAACCTGGCCATGTAATCCGCCAACTGAACCGAGTCAATAGACTCTGGAGATCTCCACTCATTTTGAGACATCAGATAATCCGTGAAAATTTTGATGTCGGATTGCGTTTTTCTCGCAGTATTCTTGTTCCTCATGAAAGATGAGGAAATGTATCCTTGTTCCTCCTTGTTCCACGAAAGCTTCGGTATCATTAACTAGCATTATTAAATCGCCCCCCTGCATCCATTACACGTTTCGTCTCCTTTTC